ATCGGAGGCTAATCACCAAATTTCTTAATTAAATTCTGTATCATAAAAAATGTTCACGTTCACTTTTTGCAAATAACCTCTCCTTATTAAACTATGGATGCCAGATGTATTAAAGCAAGGAGAGAGGGAATGGGTTTACTTTGCTTACCTGGTGGATTTTTGATTTTTTTCAAATCAAATTCTTTGGTGCAGTTCCTCTTTGGTCCAGCTGAAAACATCACCAAAAAGCCAAGTTCAATTAAATCTAGACTGAAAATTTACAAGACAATTTGTATGCTATTGTTTGACTGCAGCTGGGTAACAGCTTAATTCATTTTGGTAAAGTTACCATATTCATCAAAGCAGTAGACATCATATTTCTCATCAGGCTGTACTTTTGGATTTAGAATTAAACCAATCATGTTCCGTGAACAATTTTCGTGGCGCTTGTGTCTGAGGATGACGATGCTCATATTGCTGATCCAGCCGTTCCTAAACAGATACAATAATATTGTTAGTAATATTCTGATATTAAAATGATTGTACACTTGTTAATGGTGGATGCAAACTATCAAATTAAATCATGCTAAAACACATCCCACAACTAACAGTTGATGGGAAGGTGGTTTCCTCAACTGAAAGGTCAGTGATGGTCAATGGTGGTAACTTTTATTTGTGCACATTTTAGCTAAAGGGACACACACAAAAAACACAAGAGGACCCAAAAGCATCACATGATTTAAATTAGGGTCTATATTGCAAAATCAAAACCAAAAATGAAAAAAAAAAAAAAAATCCCCAAAAAGGGGGGATCCGAGAAGGAAGAAAATAAATTTCAGTTACAACAATTTAGCTCGTAACCGTGAATACAAATACACATTTTTAGAAAAATGCTTGTTGATGCACCTGCAGGTTTGCATAGATGCATTATAGGCCTCCTGGACTTGTTCTGGGGTTGCAATGGTGCTCATCTGTTGCTCACACACTTTTTTAGCCATGTCAAAGTCCAAAGAGTGACGTTCCTTTCCTTCAGCCCGGAAAACTCCAGCAATGCTGCAGGATCGGGCAGTCACTACAGGGAGAAACAGAAAAAAAAATTGAATCGGTTTTACTGGTTTGATCTCTATTCACTACACAGGCCACTTGCAGTAACACATAGAGAAGACTTGTTATTTGGGTGAAGGGATTTGGGGAAAATTACAGCAAATCAAACAGAATCGCAATTCAACATGTAGTGATAATAATAATAAACTACTAAGACTAACAATACTTACACTACTGATAATAATGATAATATTTTTGTATACATACTTATCATGACTAAGGTAGTACAAACAACCACAACTATAGATTTTAGCTTAAGAGTTCACACATCACAATGTATGCTTCCCACGCCTGGAAAGTACACAAAACAAAACAAAAACATCATTAA